GCAGGCAGGGACCTGGGAAGACCAGAGACCAGGGAGCGAGAGTGCATGCTACGCAGGCGAGGCAAGGAGGGGTGACCAAGGCGGTGGTGCCACAGGAGAGTGTCGTGCGACAAAGCGCGACACTCGCAGGGGGCCGCCAGCTGACCAGACGCAGACGCAAACGCAGACGCAGCTACCTGAGGGGACTCAGTGGTCAGTGTGTACAGACTCGAGCTAGGTGCACGGGTGAACGTGGCCAAGTGCCGGCCCGTCCTAGCACACGTACAGTGAGTCACTCGCTGACTCGCAGGAGTGAACTGGTCAACCCCCCCATCCTGGAGGTCAGCTCCACTCACCAAGTTCGTAGAGAACGAGGGGAGGTAAAGACCTGACAGCGAGCCGGACGGGACGGCCGGACACGGCAGAACCGTGGAATAGTGGGCAAGGACTGGACCCCCAGAGGGGTCCGCCAGGGAGACCGGGACTGGCCGACGGAGCGGCGTGAGTGCGGTGCAGTCGCGAAAGAAGGAGCGGGAAGCTCCTGAGTCAAGGGTGAAGGTGTGCGAGACCGCAGTGGGCGCAGTACCAGAGAGAGCAGACACAGCAGCACCTGATGCCACGGCCTCACCAGTACCTAGAGCAGTAGACGTACTAGCACCGAGAGCAGCAGCCTCACCAGCACCTAGAGCAGGAGACGCACTAGCACCTAGGGCAGCAGCCTCACCAGGGTCAGGCGGTACGCACAGGCAACAGGCACGGTCAGCACTAGTAGACAATGCATACATGGCAGTGAGAATAGCATCATAGTCAAGCGCAAAGATATCTACCCTCTGTCTATGCAGCTCCAGCCAGGTGGGGAGCTCAGCCTCGTCGCCAAACACTGTGCGCCAGTCGTCGCTCAGACGGGCGAAGCAGCGGGACTGTGTGTGACCAAGCGTCCCACAAGGCTGACCAGTCCTAGCACCTGTGCGAATGACGTACGGGCAGCGGACTGTACGCGTAGACCTGCTACACTGAGCGTACCACTCCTGGAGCTGCCGGGGCGTAAGTGTCTCACGTGGACGTCCCTGCAGCTGCAGCTGGCCACTGCCAGACGCTCCCAACTGACCAGCTCCAGGGCGACAGCTACGACGGCTACCGCGACAACCCCAGCTAGTATACCACTCACTAAGCTGCTGAGGCGTCAGAGGCTCGCGTGAATGTCGCTGGAGCTGCATCTGGCCACCTGCCAGTAGCAGTAGCGCAGGCAAGGCAGGCGCGGCAGGCAGGCAAGCAAGCAGGCAGGCAGGCAGGCAGGCAGGCCGGCAGGTAGGCAGGCAGCCAGGCAGGCAGGCAGGCAGGCAGACAGGCAGGCAGGTAGGCAGGCAGGCAGGCAGGCAAGTAGACACGCAGGCAGACAGGCAGGCAGGCAGGCAGGCCGGCAGGCAGGCAGGCAGCCAGGCCGGCAGGCAGGCAGGCAGACAGGCAGGCCGTCAGGCAGGCAGGCAGGCGCTCACCAAAGGCTGGGAGAGCAGGGCCGGCGCTCGAGTAGGCGCACGACAGCGGCGACGTCGGGGCCGCAAAACCGGCTGCAGAGCAGGGCCGAAACAGCTGGAGGGCGGGGCCGCGTCAGCGGCAGTAGCAGGGTGGGGCCGCGTCAGCGGCAGGTCGGGGTCGTGGCAGCTGCAGGGCGGGGCCGCATCAGCGGCAGGTCGGGGCCATGGCAGCTGCTGGGCGGGGCCGCATCAGCGGCAGGTCGGGGCCGAGGCAAAGGGCCGCGCGCGGCTGTTGCGGGCCGCGCGCGGGCCGTGCGAGGCAGGAGCAGGCCTCGCGCGGCTCGGCACGAGCTGCTGCGGGCCGCGCGCGGGCTGCGCGAGGCCGTAGCAGGCCGCGCGCGGCTCGACGCGGGCTGCGCGGGCTCGGCGCGGGCTGCGCGCGGCAGCTGCGAGCTGCGCGCGGCTCGGTGCGGGCTGCGCGCGGTTGCAGCGGGCTGTGCGCGGCTCGGTGCAGGCTGCGCGCGGCTGCAGCGGGCTGCGCGCGGCTCGGTGCGGGCTGCGCGTGGCTGCAGCGGGCTGCGCGCGACTCGGGGCGGGCTGCGCGATCTCGGTGCGGGCAGCGCGCGGTAGCAGCGTGTGTGCGGGCCCGACAGGCGTGTAGAGGCGGCGCGCGGGCCTTACGGGCCTCTAGGGGCAGCGCGCAGGCAAGGCAAGGCAAGGCAAGGCATACAAGGCAAGGCAAGGCTACGTGGGGTAGCGCGGTAACCGCAGCGGTAGGTGGGCCCGAAAAAAACGGTCCTACGGACCTTAGTGCTCTGAAACCATGTTAGAATCTAGCAGCAGGAATGGATGAACTAACAGGATGCAGGAGTACAAGTAGTAAACCCTAACTAGGTTGTACCCCATATGGGCTACCCCACTACAGCCTAGACAATATGCAGCACATATAGTTTGACATGCTAGGCTGGGGAAGTGGTAGTATAGACTGACGCTTAGTATACCGTAGTACAAAATACCATGCAGTAAAACATACCGTATTCATCAATTCTGATGAATACGTTTTCTCGTGCCGAATATGACGACAGAATCTTACTTGAAATAGAATGATCGGATTGTCTGGTCATTATATTTCATCTTTCGTTTCAGCATCTGGTAGACTGGCACTGAATAAAACAATATTAGAATAAGTCACCAATAAAGTATCCATAAATATGTAATTCGACCCTGCTTATATAGGATTTTTTTCTGGATAATAAAAAATCCGTGAAAAAAAAAGTAGGACCTGTCGATTGCAATAGGTTGCTCCGCAACCCAAAAAAGAATACCTAACGCAGTGTTATGAATTTGTGTGCTTCACCTTTTTTTATTCCGTGAAGTAGACGTGAGATCTAAAATCTGACAAAACCGGTCTTAAACGGGAGAAGCAAGTGCCAATAACGCGTTCAAATAGCTGGTTCAGCCGCTTCGGGTCGGTTTGTCGTTTGAATTGTGGAATTTTGAATTCAAGACGAACCACCCCAGCCCGACAGTGTGATTTTGATTTCTTCGTTCTCAAGGCTGAGTCCGCATGCCCGTTTACTCTTCGTCTGTCGTGGTGGAAGACGATTCCAGGCTGTGCACAGCGGTTACAAATCATCACCGTTTCCACCGTGACGAAACGAGAATAACTGCTCAGAACGACCGAGGGACCGAACGTGCTGAACCCAAACAACTCGTTTCAACGAAGTTACATTTGTATCACGACTCACGAGCCCCCCAGTGATAGTTGATTTGATTGAGCGTTCAACTCAGAACCATTTGTGGCTTCAACCATCTCACCCACAAGCCTCCGTTCCTTGCGTCCATCTCCCCTTCTCCATTCGCGTCGCGAACTCACTCCTGACAGTTGCAATGCCTGATCCACGCGCGGTCCTTTCTGCTCTGACTAAAACCAATTTCGCGGCTTCTGTGCACCAGTTCATCTATCAATACGAGACTGGTTTGTATGTTCCTCACAACAATTTATCCCGTGGGCATGGGCTCGCCGCTTCCCCGCGGCTCCATGCAATTGAAGCGTGTCTTCGTTCTTCCGTAAGTTCGGGAGCGATTCTTGAGGCCAGGCAGGAGTCAAGTCTGGCTGCGGAGGCGTTGGTCCAACTTGTGAGTGGACGTTGTGATTCTCTGGTGTGTTTCAGCTTTAGTATGGATGATGACAGTTGACTAAGACAGATTTTCGGCGAGCGGACAAGGTTCGCGGCCACAGAGCCTGAAGCATTCATCAGAATAGTTCAGACTTTGTGGGTTCTTGAAGACGAAGGGGTCATTGGGCCGAGGTATCGTTCAACGATAGGATTAAGGTATTCAAGCCGTGTTCTTTTTCATTTCGTTTATGTTCTTCTTGGCTTTGCGCAGCTCTTTGATAAACGATCTCAGTATTCAGTCACTCATGTACGCTCCTTGGACGAGAGGTACCATAAATCTTGCGGCCAAAGCAATTTCAAGCATGTTCATATCAGCAACTTACCAAAATAAGGACGTCCTTGGTACGTCTCCTCTCCAATTGAATGTTTTGCACTGATTTACGGTTGTGTTCACGACTGCGCTTTGACAGTCCAAGCCGTTCTTCACGCTGTGCTCTACTCTCCTGAGGACAATGAGGACAATTTACTTCACGAGATGTGGAATTCTGGTATTTGTTCGTGCCTACCCGAATCTGAGATGCGGTCTCAAGTTGTCCTATCGGCCATGATGGAAATTGTAAGGTTGATCTGAGGCACATTTCTGAGTATGCCTGCTAGTTCAACGAACTAATCAGTGAAACAGATAAAGCTGCCTGCCATAATGCACGGAGACACTCTGTCAAAACTTGTTGAGGTCATCAAATCAGCAACACGATCAAGGTATGTTCTGGATGGCATGTATGAATGCTTACTCTTTGCAGTAAACCTGAGATTGCCAACCATTTCAGATTTGTGCATTCTGGGGTCCTTGAAGGCATTTCGGGCATCTTTGAGGAGGCTGAAGCTTCAAAAGAAGTCTACATCAGGTACCCAAGTGACTGCGTTTCTTTTGTGTAATCCTTCTACATACTTCTGATGTCATTGACAGTAACTCATGTCACACAAATGTTTTCCAGGGTGTATGTCCAGCTTGCTGAGCTTGACACCAGCGACAACATCTCCAAACACTTGTTCATCAGTAATACACAATTGGGAGATTTTCATGTTTCCTAAGTTTTCTACTGACACATCTGTACTTACAATTGTGCTATTTCCAGTCTCTGGACTGCTGAGCAAGGCAGATGTCCCACGAATGGAATTGCAGCAAGTCATTTATGAAGCTGTTGATAGGCTCAAACGACGTCTTCCCCAAAGCATCTACAGGGTACGTTGAACCTAAGCAAGCAATTGTTGCACAGCAGCTTCTGCCCATTCTCAATCATATTTTACGTACAGGAACCTTTCAAACGTGCATTTTCTTCACCCTGGGCGAATGAGGAGTAGAGTCAACAACAGCTACCACCACCTTCCAGAGGGGTGCTAGAACAGCTCACGCAATAGTCACTTCCTATCTGTATAGTGATTCTGCGCGGATATTGTATGCCAGCTGTGACTCCCAACGATCCCCGTTCTCAAGAAGCTTTTCCTTGTCGTAGAGCAATTCCTGCATGAGGAACAAGGCAGTAATGTTTATTGAGAAAACATACCTTATTCTAGAAAATCCAATGCATGAAAACCACAAGCAAACAACCAAAGACTCACCTCATGTGTTTCTGTCGCAAACTCCAGGTTTGGCCCTTCCACGATGGCATCTACGGGACATGCTTCTTGGCACAAGCCACAGTAGATGCACTTAGTCATGTCTAGGTCATACCTGTCAGCCACAGATACAGCAGATGCATGAGCTCTCACTAATGTTTCCAAAAAAACCAAATTCCATCGAAAACCAGAACTGCTGAGCACCGCACACCTAGTTGTACGGCGGCTGCCATCTTCGCGAGGTTCTGCTTCTATAGTTATGGCTTGTGCAGGGCACACCTGGTAGACGACAGAAGAGAGCTGTTAGAAAAGAGGTATCAACGTTGATTCTAAGACATGGGATGGGATCTCCAAAATGCGATCTACAAGGCTTGCTTGTGCTGACACTCACCGCTTCACACAGCTTGCACGCAATGCACCTCTCCTCTCCAGTCTCATAACGTCTCAAGGCATGTTCACCCCTGAAACGAGCGCTTAGAGGGCTCCTTTCAAAAGGATAGTTGATCTGGCACGATTTCCACAATCACACGCGTCGATTGAACATGAACTTGTGCTTCAGTTGGGCTAAATAAACATGCAGTTTGACATTACTTACCGTGACTTTTTTGTCAAAGAAATATTTCAGTGTCATACCCATGCCACGAAACAGCTCTGTCATCAAGAGGGTGCCCATGTTCTTATCGAGAACTGCATGTTCAGAAAAAAGAGAAAAGGACCTTCGACACTCAGTATCATACACACAAAGCAAAACTAATCGAGTCAGCAAAGGACGTTTGGAGAAAAACCAAAGACAACTCACTGGTGCTCAGATCGGATTCTTTCGCCACCTTCGCCGCGTCTCGGGACTTAGTGGGCGTTGAATCTGCGCAGCACGTGAAGAAAGCTCTCTCAGAACTAACAACGGCAGAACAGAAATAAATACAAGGCGCTAACCCTCTCGGATGTACTGAAGAAAATCGTTACCCTGTCGATGGGCTGTAGACATCATCCTTGACCCTCTGAAGATCCTCGCACCGCTGTGTCGTTCAAGCTCTCGGCAAATCGTTCCGGAACCAACTCTAAACGCCATGGCGAAGAGAGTGGTGTCTAGACAAGCCTGAGCTTTATGACTAACTTCTCGCACCCCGCAACCTCTCGCTCCCTGCTCAGCCGCTACTATGAAGGCCCAGCAAGCCGATATTTCTTCGGAAAATTAGAGGCCTCCCAACCCAAGCTAACCCGAGCTCAGCGAGAATTTCGGCCATGATCGCTCTTGGGCAGTCGTTGCGCATTTTGCGTGTGTTGCGCCAGCGACCCTCAGCGAAAACCGCACGCCATGCACCATGCTGGATGTCAACAAAAATGCCGTCCTTGTTATTGAGTGCACGGCGCACGCAACAATGCGAGTTGTATTTCAACAAGATCCACACTGATATGGAGCAGTTACCTACTTGCGCTTATACAATCCTTACTTATTAGAGAAAAGGAAACAAGGCTGCACATTCAAGTGCGATATACAGCTTCTATGATATCAACTGAGCATACCAAAATTTGATCCCACGTACATAGACCATACGTGGCTATCTGATTAGGGTTGTGTTGTGTGTCAAAATCAAGGCACCTTGTCCAATTAAATCAATATGAACATAAAGAACAATCTGTATAATACCACCTCATCTACACTCTTCTGCACAGCATGCACACTGGAAGAGAAATATACATTGGTCTAGACATTTGACAGCCGATTTACACGAGTTAATGCACCTAACCAAATACACCTAGTAAGTATATTATACTAGAGTGAGGATCTTTGGATAGGATAGGAAGTGCTCTGAGAGAATTGGTAGCGGAAGTCTTGGTAGGAACCCTTGATCATAGTGAATGTAAATGAAAAGGTTGATTGATTGATAGAATACAAGCAAGATAAATAGTCCTAACTAGCCATGTACTCTAAGGGGTACATTCCCTTATTATAACTGTTTTACAGGCAGTACAACAGTGACTCTGACTATTGCATTTCCTTTCTTGTTACCGAGTCGCTGCTTGTAACCGTGCGTACGGTTACGCCTGTTGCCATTCCTCGATAGTAGGTCAATCGTCGGTCCAGATAGTCAACAGTCGCGACAGTTGACTCTTGCGACTGTTGACTTTCCTGCCTTGATATAGGCTGATCCGACATCTGCTGTTTGCGCTGCTTCGATGGTCGCAGGTGCGATGTTGCTGCACCTTCGGGAATGCTTACGATTCCCTTCATACTCCAACACTCCCCTTCATTCCTGGAGGTGCGCCACGTGGCTCTTGCGAACGATTCCGCATAGGTCCGAGCAGTACTGGAACTTCTGACGTGGCAGCTTCTTTGTCAGGAAATCAGCTGCCATTTCACCAGTTGGACAGTAGGTGAGCTGGACCTTGCCCTTGTCGATTTCGTCCTTGATGAAAAAGTATCGCAGGCCGATGTGTTTGGTGCGGTTGACGAAGCCGGGCTTGTGTGCGATTTTGATCGCGCTCTGGTTGTCGCAGAGTAACTTGAAGGACCCGTTCATCGCCGTTTTCGTTTCCTGTAGGAGTTCCGTGAGGTAGAGCCCTTCGCGAACTGCTGCGCTTGCTGCGATGAACTCTGCTTCTGCTGACGAGAGGGCGATGAGCTCCTGCTTCTGTGAGTTCCAGGAGATGGTTCCTGCAGGCTCAAGTTTGAAAATGAAGCCTGTGCGGGACCTTCTGTTTTCTGCGTCCCCCGCGTGATCTGCGTCGACGAAACCAGTAAGCTGCAGGTTAGCCGTTAGGTTCGCCTTGTAGGTGAGGCCGACGTCGGGCGTGGAGATGAAGTACTGTAGGGCTCGACGAAGATCTGCCATGTTCTCCCCTTCAGGTCGGCGCAGGTACTGGGCGAGCTGGCTGGCGACGTAGGAGAGGTCGGGACGGCAGGTGACGGCGGCGAACAAGAGGCAGCCTAGCTGCTGCTGGTAGAGGCGATGATCTGCTGGGGAGAGCGGAGTGGTGTCCGGCTCGTGGTTGGGAGGAGGAGTGCGTGTTAAACTGTATTATGCTTGTAGGCTGTAGTGGGGTAGCCAATATGGGGTACAACCCCAACTAGGGTTTCATATTTTGTACCCAAACTCCTGTTAGTTCATTCATTCTTGCCTAGTGATTTTGACATGGTATTCAGAGCAGGAGGTCCCTAGGACCTACCGATCGTTTTTAGGGCCCACCACCGCTCGCATGCGGTTACCACGCTACCCCGTTCCCTAGCCTCGTAGCGCCCTCGTGCGCCCTCGTTAGCGCCCTCGCGCGCACCCTCGTTAGCGCCCTCGCGCGCACCCACGTCAGCGCCCTCGCGCGCCCTCGCTAGCGCCCTCGCGCGCCCCTTTGCTAGCGCCCTCGCGCGCCCCTTGCAAGCGCCCTCGCGCGCCTCTCACTAGCGCCCTCGCGCGCCCCTCGCCGAGCCGCCCGCTCGCAGCCCGCCCGCCCGCTCGCTGCCCGCTTCGCGGCCCGCTCGCTACGCAGCCCGCCCGCCCGCTCGCTGCCCGCTTCGCGGCCCGCCCGCTTCGCAGCCCGCTCGCTCGCTGCCCGCTTCGCGGCCCGCCACTTCGCAGCCCGCCCGCCCGCTCGCTGCCCGCTTCGCGGCCCGCCCGCCTCGCAGCCCGCTCGCCCCGCTGCCCGCTTCGCGGCCCGCCCACTTCGCAGCCCGCCCGCCCGCTCGCTGCCCACTTCGCGGCCCGCCCGCTTCGCAGCCCGCTCGCTCGCTGCCCGCTTCGCGGCCCGCCCGCCTCGCAGCCCGCTCGCCCCGCTGCCCGCTTCGCAGCCCGCCCGCCCGCCCGCTGCTCGCTTTGCGGCCCGCCCGCCTCGCAGCGTCGCCCGCCCACCGTGCTGCCCGCTTGCAGCGCCGCCTGCCCGCCGCGCTGCCCGCTTTCCGGCCCGTCCGCCGCGCTGCCCGCTCGCAGCGTCGCCCTCCCGTCGCACTGACCGCTTGCAGCGCCGCCTGCCCGTAGCGCCAGCCTCGCCCGCTGCTCTCTATCCGTGCACAGTCGTCTTCCCCTGCTGCGGCAGCTTTCGTTACTCTGTCACACTGTCGCTATGGCTTCCATTCGCGTGCTGTCGTTCGATGCTGAGGGCCGCCCTGTGCGTTTCACCGCTTGGCTAGATGACCTGCAGCTGTTTCTCCTGAGCGATAGCAAGGAGCATGTGTCGCTCTATGACTACGCGTCTGGTGCTGCGCCTGCCCCTCCTGCCACAGCTGAGCTTAGTGTTCGTTCCCACTGGCAGACTCGTGACGCAGCTGCTCGCCTAGCCATTCGCAGTCACCTGCCGTTAGCTGAGCTAGAGCATTTTGGCGACTGCAAATCCGCTAAGGCCCTCTACGACGCTGTCGTCGCTCGCTACTCCTCGCCTGCCACAGCCGAGCTTAGCCGCCTCATGCTGCCGTACCTATTCCCCGATCTGTCCACCTTCACTACAGTCGCCGATCTTATCACCCACCTTCGCACTAGTGATGCTCGCCTGCGTGCCGCCCTTCCCACCGAGTTCTGCGCTAAGAACCCCCCCCCACTGTACTGGACTCTCCACTTCATAGTCACCCGTCTCCCTGACACCCTCCGCTCAGTTCGAGACCACTTCCTTGCTCGCTGTCCCACTGAGCTCACAGTCGCCCTCCTAGAGGAGCACCTGCTCGCGGCCGAAAAGAGCATTGTAGCTGTTGGTGCTGCTCGTGGCGCTCCTCGCACCCCCATCTTTGAGGGATGCTCTCCCTCTCCCCTCGCTCCCTCCTACGCTGCTGCTACTGCTGTTGACTTCCTTGGTGCTGAGTCTGTTGGCGCTGCTTCTACTCCTGGTGGGAGGCGCCGCACCGGCAAGGGCAAGGGGGGCAAGGGTGGTGGTGGTGGCGCTGGGGGGGGAGGAGGTGGGGGAGGTGGGGGGGGAGGCGGTGCTGGAGGGAGCGGTGGCGGGAGCGCTGGTGGGAGTGGGGTCGGTGGTGGAGACGGGGGCGGCGGAGGGACCAGTGGCAGTAGTGGCGGCGGCGGCGGTGGCGGCGGCGGCGGTGGTGGCGGTGGTGGCGGTGGCGGTCGGAGCGGTGGTAGTGGTGGCGGCGGAGGTCGGAGTGGAGGCACTGGCTCTGGCCAGAGCTCCCAGCAGCAGCAGCGTCCCCAGACGACCCAGCAGCTTCGTGAGTGGCTTGCTCAGCGTGGGACGTCGGGGGCCAGTGCCCGCTGTTCTTATGTCATTCGCACAGGTGACCGCAAGGGACAGACGTGTGGGAGGTTCCACACCCCGTACCGCTGCTTCTCCCGCCTTGACGACGCTTGGCGTGAGGAGATGGGTGCGGATGTTGAGCGCCCCCGCTGGGCTGAGCTCATGAGGGCTGGTGTTGATGTCTTTGCTCTTGACTATGATGCTATTATTGCTGCCATGTATGCATTGACTGTTAGTGCCGAGGGAGACTGTTACTTGTGTGTGCCGCCTGACCCAGGTATAGAGCCCGCTGCCCTGGGTACTAGTGAGTCTGCTCTCTCTGGTATGGTGCCCCGTGTACTTGCTCCCTCCAGTGCTGTCCCGACTGGTTTCGAGTCTGCTCTCTCAGGTACAGCACCCACAGAGACTGCTCTCTCAGGTACCGCACCGGCTGAGGCCTGTCACACCTTCACCCTTGACTCAGGTGCTTCCCGTTGCTTCTTTCGTGACAGTACTGAGCTCACACCGCTTCCTGCACCGGTCCCAGTCTCCTTGGCTGACCCCTCTGGGGGCCCAGTCCTTGCCCAGTCCACCACTGTCCTCCCTTGTCCGGCGGTTCCGTCTGGCTCGTTGTCGGGTTTCCACCTCCCCTCGTTCTCGACGAACCTGGTGAGCAACGCTGTCCTCCAGGATCAGTGGGTTGACACCTTTACCCCTGGCGGACAGCGTGTGGCGATCTGCACGTGCTCCAGGACTGGCCGTCACCTGGCTACGTTCACCCGTCGGCCGGGGTCGAGTCTCTACACACTGACCACTGCGTCTCCCCAGGTAGCTGCTGTCGGTCAGGTGTCTGCGTCAGGTCTGGTGGCCCACGCCTGTGAGTGTCGTTCCCTGTCGCACCAGACTCTTCTCTGGCACCACCGCCTGGGTCACCCCTCCTTGCCACGCCTTCGTGGCATGCACCGTCGCCTCCTTGTGTCCGGTCTTCCCCGGTCCCTCCCTCCCCTACCTGCCTCGCCTGCGCCGCCCTGCCTTCCTTGCGTCGAGGGGCGGCAGCGCGCCGCTCCTCACTCCTCCTCGTTCCCCCCGACAGAGGCTCCTCTGGAGACCCTCCACCTGGACGTGTGGGGCCCAGCCCGCGTTCGTGGTCAGGGCGGTGAGCGGTACTTTTTGCTGGTTGTCGACGACTACTCGCGTTACACCACGGTCTTCCCCTTGCGCACCAAGGGTGAGGTCCCTGCTGTTCTGATCCCTTGGATCCGCACGGTTCGTCTCCAGCTCCGCCGCCGTTTCCGGACGGATCTTCCTGTCCTGCGTCTGCACTCTGACAGGGGTGGTGAGTTTTCCTCCGACCTCTTGAGGACCTTCTGTCAGGCGGAGGGCATCGAGCAGACCTTCACGCTTCCGGACTCCCCACAGCAGAATGGGGTTGCTGAGCGCCGCATTGGCCTGGTCATGGAGGTCGCTCGTACCTCCTTGGTCCACGCGGCGGCTCCCCATTTTCTGTGGCCGTTTGCTGTCCGGTACGCCGCGCATCAGCTCAACCTCTGGCCCCGTGTCTCCTTGCCGGAGACCTCGCCCACACTGCGTTGGACGGGGGAGGTTGGCGATGCGTCGCGCTTCCGGGTGTGGGGTGCTCGTGCCCTTGTCCGCGATACGTCCGCGGACAAGCTCTCCTCCCGCACGCTTCCCTGTGTCTTCCTTGGCTTTGTCCCTGACGCGCCTGGCTGGCAGTTTTACCACCCCACCTCGCGCCGGGTCTTCGCCTCTCAGGATGTCACCTTTGACGAGTCGGTCCCTTTTTACCGTCTCTTCCCCTACCGCACTGCCCCCCTCCCTCCCCCGCCGCTTTTCCTTGCTCCTGGTCCCCCTCCGGTAGACCCCCTTCCCCCTCAGGGTCCTGCTCCTTCAGGTGTCTCTCAGGTAGACCCTCCTCCCGTCGCTGAGCCTGTCGAGGTCACAGGTGACTCAGGTGCTGCTGCGGGTGGTGCTGCTGGGAGTGCTGAGCCTGGGGGTGCTGAGCCTGGGGGTGCTGAGCCTGCGGGTGCGGGGCCTGGGAGTGCTGGGACTGCGGGTGCTGGAGCTGAGGGTACTGTGCCTGAGAGTTTGCCGCCTGGGGGTGCTGAGCCTGGGGGTGCTGCGACTGGGGGTGCTGAGCCTGCGGGTACTGAGCCTGCGGGTACTGAGCCTGGGGGTGCTGCTACTGAGCCTACGGAGCCTCGGGTTACTGCGTCTGGGGGTGCTCCGGTTCGGGGTGCTGAGCAGTCTCTCACACCGCAGCAGCTTCGTGACTGGTACGTCCGACGCTTTCGCCGTCCCAGTGGCTCGGCTGGAGTTGGGGGTGCTGGAGCTGCTCGTCCTGGGGGTGCTCGTACTGGGGGTACTGGAGCTGGGGACTCTGGCGCTGGCGGTGCTAGCGGAGTTGGAGCTGCTGACTCTGGGGGTGGCGCTGCTGCTGGTGCTGAGGAGTCGGACGGTGGAGCTGCTGCTGGAGCTGGGGACCCGGCCGGTGGAGCTGCTGCTGGTGCTGTGGACCCGGACGCTGGAGCTCCTACTGGTGCTGAGGACCCGGCCGCTGGAGTCCCTTCTGCTTCTCGAGACGCTGCGCGGCCGCGACCGTACTTCGTACCGCTCCTTCAGCAGGTTCTTGGGCAGGCTCCTCCTCCTTGTCCTCCTCCCTCCGTAGAGTGTCCTCCGCCTGTCCAGCCGCAGTCACGGTTACCGCCTACCTCGCCTCTCCCTGCTCCCTCTCCTTATACTGGTCCCACAGGAGGTCTTACAGAGCGTCGTGAGCCTGAGTCTCGTCCTGCGTCGCCTGTTCGTCCTGCTCGCACTGCTAGTCGTGTCCGTCGTGAGCGTCCTCCTCCTGTCCCAGGCACTCACTACATGACTCTGCGTCCCTCTACTGCTCCTCGGCGTGTCCCTCTACCGTCCCCTCCTGCGTCCTCTTTGCCTGCCGTTCCGGACCCTGAGTCTGACCGGTATCGCGCTGAGCACCCTACAGTCACGCGTCTCCTCGCTACTGTTGTCACCGACCCTACCTTTGAGTCCTCGGCTGCGTCTGCTCTGGTCGCTGAGTTGGTTGACTTTGCTGCTACCTGTCGTCTAGACTACGCTGCTAGCCTTGTTGCTGCGTCAGAGTCTGCGTCTGTCTGTCCTCCGTCCGTCGGGGGTGAGTGTGCTCTTGGCACGGACGTCCTTGAGGACAGGCAGGAGGACTTTGACTCTCTTGCGGCTGCTGTACCTCATCTCGTGGCCTGGTTGCTTGCCCCTGAGGGAGACCCGGATGCACTAGACATCCCCACTCCGCGCACTTACGCAGAGGCGATCTCGGGTCCCTACTCCTCTCAGTGGCAGACAGCCATGGACGCAGAGATGGCATCCTGGAAGTCCACAGGCACCTACGTCGACGAGGTTCCCCCTCCTGGGGCGAACATCGTCGATGGCATGTGGATTTTCAGGGTGAAGCGGCCGCCAGGTTCTCCACCTGTCTTCAAGGCTCGTTACGTTGCTAGAGGCTTCAGTCAGCGTCAGGGGGTCGACTTCTTCCAGACCTTCTCCCCCACCCCGAAGATGACCACTCTTCGGGTTCTGCTGCACGTTGCTGCTCAGCGTGACTACGAGCTTCACTCTCTTGACTTCAGCACAGCGTTCCTGCAGGGCAGCCTGCACGAGGAGATCTGGCTGCGCCGCCCACCTGGCTTTACTGGGTCGTTTCCCCCTGGTACCCAGTGGAGTCTCCGTCGGCCAGTCTACGGTCTCCGCCAGGCGCCACGTGAGTGGCACGACACACTGAGGACTACTCTTGCGGCTCTTGGGTTCGCGCCGTCTACTGCTGACCCGTCACTGTTTCTACGCACAGACACGTCGCTGCCGCCGTTCTACATTCTCGTGTACGTCGACGACTTGGTCTTTGCTACTGCTGACACTGAGGCACTCGCTCGTGTGAAGTCGGAGCTGCAGAAGAGACACACCTGCACTGACCTGGGTGAACTGCGTAGCTACCTTGGCTTGCAGATCACCCGGGACAGAGCTCGCCGCACCATCACCCTGACTCAGTCACACATGGTGCAGCAGGTCCTTCAGCGCTTCGGCTTCCAGTTCTCCTCACCACAGGCCACACCTCTGGCTACCAGCCACTCGCTCTCAGCTCCACCTTCGGACGAGTCCGTAGAGCCGAGTGGCCCGTACCCAGAGCTTGTAGGCTGCCTCATGTACCTGATGACTTGCACGCGACCTGACCTCGCGTACCCTCTTAGCATCCTTGCTCGTTACGTTGCGCCTGGGAGACACAGGCGAGAGCACTGGGAGGCTGCTAAGAGGGTGCTGCGTTACCTGTGCAGTACATCAGGCATGGGGCTGGTGCTTGGAGGACGCGACAGAGTTGTCCTCACTGGTCACTCGGACGCCTCTTGGGTGGACGACCTGGCTACGCAGCGGTCGTCACAGGGTTACACCTTCAGCCTTGGCTCAGGTTCTGTCTCGTGGCGGTCCACCCGCTCTTCCTCTGTTCTCAGCTCTAGTTGTGAGGCTGAGATCTACGCCACAGCCATGGCTGCACAGGAGTTACGCTGGCTCACCTACCTGCTGACTGACTTGGGAGAGCGGCCTAGTTCTCCTCCAGTTCTGTATGGTGACAACAAGGCGGCTCTTGCCTTGTGTCAGGAGCACAGACTGGAGCACAGGACGAAGCACATTGCTCTTCGCTACTTTCTTGCTCGAGAGCTTCAGCAGCGCGGTCAGCTTCGGCTTGTGTACGTGGACTCGAAGGCCAACACTGCTGATATCTTCACCAAGGCGCTCCCGCCTAGTGATCATCAGCGGCACTGTTCTTCTTTAGGCCTTGTGTCCACGTTTCCTCACTTGCTCACTGCTTGACAGTCTTTGTACTGTACTTTATATATATCTTGTTGCTTGCTTGCTAGGTTTTTGATCACTGTGTTGCTTGTCTTGTACTATATCTAGCACTGCATGTGAACTGGCCTTGTGGCCTTTACTTGTGCTCGGAGTGTGGTGACGTTGTGATCCACCCTGGGCTTTGCTTTGCTTTGCTGGACTGGTCTTGTGACCCTTTGTTCTCCCCCACTTTGCCTATGGGGGTGTGTTAAACTGTATTATGCTTGTAGGCTGTAGTGGGGTAGCCAATATGGGGTACAACCCCAACTAGGGTTTCATATTTTGTACC